AACAAAAAAACATGAGTCCACTGTATTAATAGGATTTGAATCTAGGTCTTAATCCAAGGATGGGAACCCTGTAGCAACCCTAATGCGCTTAGACTTCAACTCCCATTGGCTCCAGTCAGTATGATCAATAGTGAGGGGTGACAGGAGCTGCAGTCAACCAGCATCTGGAGGATCATGGGTTCTTCACCCCTATATTAATCCAACTTTCTGTCTGATCAGCTCCTGAATCTCTTCTAATGGTGGTGGAGGGGGTTAGTTTATACACCATCTGTGTGGTTGGAATTTGTATGTCATTCAGATGTTTTTGTGCTGACAGTGAGTCTGCTGTCCAAGCCAGTCTCATGAATTTATATTACAACTAGTCAGGCAACTGCTTTGGTCTTCTTATGAAGATTAGTGGTGCGGCATGCAAAATAGCAACCAGTATAGGTGCACGGCATAGTGGTTTGAGACTATGAGTCTGGAGAGCAGGGTTTGATTCCCAGCTTGGCTCTGAAACCCACTGGGTGACCTTGGATGAGTCATACTCTCTCAGCCTCGGGGAAGGCAAAAGGAAACCTGGTATGAACAAATCTTGCCAAGAAAACCCCATGATAGGTTCACCGTAGGATTGCCGTAAATTGGAAGCGAAGGCACACCACACACACATTGGTCTGTTAAGAGCGTAACACTATTCAGACCCAAAATGCAGTGTCAGTGGGCATTATGCCTGTATGACTCTTCTCATGGAGCCAGATTATTTATTCATTTGGTCTGGATTTAGCAGCCTTGAGGCCCTGCGGAAAGCATTAACCCTTGCATGTGTCTTTTAAAAGCAAAGCTGAATAAAATCCTAAAATTCTGTTTAGGTAAGACAAGAATTGGAAGTAATTCTCCTCTCCATCCCGCTCACTCCTAAGGGAAATGCTACATAAAAGGAAGATATTAACATTTATTTTTTTGTAAATGGTGGTTCCCCATCTGTCTCCTGCTGCTCGGCTAGGAATTGTGATTCCGAGAAGCTGCTTTTGCAACAAGATCCCTCTCCATTGCCTCCCTCCCCTCTCCCTCTTTTTTGACTCTGTTGCCAGGTTTTACAACCACCATTGTTACTATTGGTTGAAATGTGTGGTACCACCGTCTACAGCTCAGCCAGTGAACCAACCCCCTTTCCTTTTCCAGTTAGAAAACTGATGGGAAAGGGGGGGGGGTGGAATAGCGCCTTTTCACCACCACCACCCCCATCCCCATTCAGATAAGCTTTTCTTTCCCCTAGCTCTCTTTTTTAATGAAGCACATTGAGCTCAGTTGGAAGCAGTTATATATCAGCTTTGGAACCGGCTCTTGGCTATGGGCCAGTTAAAGCCCTAGCTCCATCTAAACGGAAGCGTGGGTCAGTGTGTCCTGGCCGGCTCTCCAGCAACAAAAATGGAAACATTTGTGCCAAGAATTTCTCTTAGAAAAGGAAGCTTTTGTAACTTGGAAGTATGGTGGACTCTGTGTAAGCATGCTGTGTCGGACATGGAGAAGTCAATTTCCATGTGCCAAACAGAGAGGGAAGCTGGAATAAAAGAGCGTGCACAAACACACACACACACACACACAATCCGTATGATAAGGGCATTGCTTTAAAATAATGATGGGTAAAAAGTGCCCTTCTGGGGCTACATGTGGACCTCTAGGCAGTTTACATGGCTCCCATCCTGACTAAACTCCCTGGACCACCCTTTCTGTGGCCAAAAAAAGAATAGAGGTAAATGGCCTTTTCTGAAAGCCTCCAGATGTAGCCTCCATTTTGGAGAGAGCCAGCATGGTACAGCATAGTGTGCGTATACACACACACACACACACACACCCAAAGGCAAACTTTGATTTTGTCATTTCACACAAGGGACAGCATTTCTATGTCATTACATTTAATGGGACTGGAGCATCCACTGATTTTGGTATCCACAGGGGGTCCTGGAACCAAACCCTAGCGGATACCAAGGGCCCACTATAAAGCAGGGGTAGGCAACCTTTCCCCTTTAAGGGCCGAGGGACTTCAGCTCCCAGAATCCCAGAAGCTATTGGCCAACATGGGACTATTGGCCAACATGGCTGAGGCTTCTGGGAGCTTAAGTCCCTCGGCCCTTAAAGGGGAAAGGTTGCTTACCCCTGGTATAAAGTTTTGAGTATTGGACTAGGATTCTAGGACGCCAGGGTTCAAATCCCCACTTGGCCATAGAAACCCATTGGCTGACCTTGGGCAAGTCACACTCTGTTGTGATCAGAGGAGAGCAAAGGTAAACCCCCTCTGAACAAATCTTGCCAAGAAAACCCTCATGATAGGTTCACCTTAGGCTCACCATAAGTTGCAACATTAAAAAAAACACAGATGTAGCAATTCACCTTTTAAATACATTGTAGCATCCCCTCCCCTGCACCTATACCACACACCATTTTTGGTGCTAGAAGTAGATTTGCAGTCACTTCCTGAGTGTTTGGTTTTGACTTTTCACGATCTGTATGGTCCCTGCAGGGTCCTAGGAGGAGAAAATTGTCCCTTGACTGGCTGTCTTTGCCTCTCTCTTGCTTCAAAACAAAACAAACTCACAGAGGTAGCCTGGAGGCTGAAGGCAGGAAAGCTTGAAATATCAGGGCCCAAAACGCTATTTCACAAAATATATTTATGCTCCTTAAATAAGCTGTTGAAGCATGTCTCCTGCTATTGGCGTGCATCTCTGAAAGGCAGACATGCAAATTTCAAATGCTCAGGTTATTAGTAGGGCTTTGCAGAAAGGTGGATTTATCGTTACTTTTCAGTCTTCTAACATTTTCATACAAAAGCAGAGGTAACCATGTTGGCCACAAACCAAAATCCACATGGCACTTATTAGAGGCATACATTTCATTGCTTTTTGTGGGGGGGGGGTCCCCCATGTAATATTTGAAGTTCATATTGATTATTTTATTATTTTCATTATATCTGTATATAATCTTTTTTTAAAACAAACAACAGTAAAAGCCACCATGAGCTGCATCTTTGTGACAAGTAACCCTTTGCTTTGCCTAATGCTGGAACTGGACCAGGACTTAAGGAAATAGTTGCTCCTTCCTGTATTGGAAATAATCATGAGTTGGTAGGAAGAAGGCCTTCAGTGACATCTGTAAATGCATGTTTGTTCTTGAGAATATAAAGTTATTTTCTGGCACTTCTGCAAAGCCCAGTATCCTCCTCGGTGTTGTAACTATCTCAAGGTTTTGATAAGCTCCACAGATTGAAGGAGTGATAGGACTAAATGGAAAAAGAGGAATTCTGTGACACATAAAGTCTTAAGAAATTCATTATGGCATAGGTTTTCATGAGCTGCATTCTACTTCTTCAGGTGCAAGGACGTTGTTCTCATTTGTAATTTGTGTGTCAATTGGTGGTGGAAGTGCAATGAAATGCCCAGAGTACAGATGGTTGCAGTTTTGTGATCAACAGTAACTATTCATTCTGGCGTGAGCCAATTTGGCATAGTGGTTTGAGCAGTAGACTACAATTCTGGAGACCAGGGTTCAAATCCTTGCTTGGCCATGTAAACCCACTGGGTGACCTTGGGCAAGTCACACTCTCTCGGCCTCAGAGGAAGGCAATGGCAAACCCCCACTGAAGAAACTTGACAAGAAGAGCCCATGATAGGTTCACCTTAGGGTTGCTATAAGTTGGAAAAGATTTGAAGGCAAACCACACACATACATTCATCCTGGCATTGATGAGCTAATTAACACAAAAAAGTGTGATAGAAAGCAATTATCCTGATTCAGGATAAACTTTTGATAAACTGGAATTCCATGGCTTCAATAATAAACTGGAATTGATAAACTGGAATTCCATGGCTTCAACCATTTGAAGTTCCTTTGTTTCAGGATAAGATGAGATCAGTGGCAGTGTACAGGTACAGTTCCACAGCAGCATCTAGTGGTGATATGGAATAAGAGTAATTGGGATTAAATTGTTTTGTCTGCTCAGATCCCTTGAGAATGTCTCCAAAACAAGGAAACCAGTGTTGTGGCTGGGAACCAAAATATGAACTAACAACATCATTCTAGAGTAGTGGTAGTGGTAGGGAGAGAGAATATGAATATCCAATACTTAAGGAAAGAAATCTTTTGGAATAGGAGACGCTTCCCTATCATTTAGAACAAGTGATTGAGAAATCAGAATGCTTCAATAGGAAAGGTTATTAAGAGGAGTATGCTAATTTTGCTTAATAAGAATTGTGAAGATAAATTAATCCAATGATTTGACTTTCCCCCATTTATCTAGCCACTAGTTTTTAGGGATAGTTGCAAGGTATCATGGCTGGAATTCTGTTAGTTAGTCCCAAGTAGAGTAGATCCATTCAGTCAGTTGACAAATGGTGATAAATCCAGTTGATTCAACAGTTCCCCTCTAGTCTGGACTAACAACAGGACTGAGCCCCTTGCCTGCTTCTTCCATACAGAATGTAAATATTCACCCTACCTTTGTGTTTCTCTTTAAGAGATCTATTGTTTTAACTTGCCCTTTCTTTTCTCTGGTTATTAAGGATCCCTTCACAGCATTCCATCTGGACAAGACTGTAGTGAGAAAGTACATGAAGCCGTTGCTTATTGGAGAACTTGCAGATGACCAGCCCAGCTTTGAACCTGGCAAAAATGTAAGCCTCCCTCAATTGATGGAATTGAGACAAAGAGAGAGAGGATCTTGGTTGTGGAAACAGCAAGTCAGAGGTGTAAACTTGGAAGAGAGGCCGGTCAAATCCAGAGTTTAAAAGTCATTTAAAAAACTCAGTTTGTCACTGTTTTAATTGCAGAGTGCTCCAAAATTAGTTGCTGTTATTGTTTCAGTTTTTAATAGTAACACTTTACTTTCTTCTTTTGTTTTTCAAAAGTAGCTGAAATCATTCCTTCTCCAGTTTTTAACTTTTGAAAATCTGAAAGCTTCTGGTTTGTCATACAAAATACATTCTTAAAACCTACCACAGAGTCCTCTAATTGTCAACATAAGGCACAGATTTTGAACCATATGAGACTGTCTTTCTACCAGTTAGTGAGACCATAACCCTATAACTATAAAAATACAGTGCGTCCTTGTTATTCATTGAGGTTTGGTTCTAGGATCCCTCGTGGATAACAAAATCCATAGATGCTCAAGTCACATTAAATATAATGGCATAACAAAATGGCATTCCTTATATAAAATGGGAAATCAAACTTTACTATTTGGAATTTATACCTTTTTTAATATTTTCAAGCCGTGGATGGTTGAATCAGTGGATAAAAAAATCTGTGGATAAGGAGGGCTGACTGTAACTAAAATATTACCATTATACATCCATGTTTAAAACTGCAGGTCTGTTGAGTTGATGCATCAAGCCGTCAGTTCCTCCTCTTCATTTGTTTTTCTGCTGTCCAAGACCAAGTCCAACTTCTTCATAAATGGCAAATAATAACAAATTTGTTACAGTAAAATGGTAGCACAAGGCATTTCATCACCAGTATGTAACTAATCAGTATGCATAGATTGATAGAACATAAAATATATTCATTTGATTGTAAATTTTGACATAATAAATAGTGTCTCCTTGACATTCCAAAACATTAATTGGGGAGGGGATTTGAGCATTTTTGGCTCTTTGTTGTTTTCTAAACAGTGTACATTCCCTGAAAGCCACCCCTGAACACTAACCTTTGCCTCTTTTTATCTTTAATTTTTTCTTTCTTTAGACCCTTTCCACCCACTTTCTTAAAGCGTATAACCAATTTTGCAACTCACATAAACACTGATAGTGTTCTTGGAAGCTTCCTGGGACTATGGCCCCATTTGTACTGTACTATATTCCACTTTAAATGTCTTAGCAACATGCTGTGTAACTATGGAGCTTATAGTTTGGTCATAGGCACCAGAGAAGCTCCCTAGCTGAGGATTCTAAATGGCGCTCTCCAAACTGTAAATCCCAGGATTCCATAGGATGCACCCATGGCATCACAGCGCTATAATTGTATTGTGTGAATGTGTCTGAAGCACTGATGAAGTATAATCAAAGCATATACACTTCTTGTTTATAGGTGGGACAGACTCAAGAACCTGCCCAAAAATCTTGTCCCCCTTTTGCATTCAAGACTCTCATTTCTAACACAGTTGCAAGTGTGAGTCTAATATATACATAATACCAGATACAAAAAGTGTTCCAGCATAAATGAGTGGTTCAACACACAAACCCTGTTTGAGTGCATGTGATTACTACAGGGGAGGCACTCTCTCTGGCCCCATCTCCACCACTGCATTCCTGTCACAGGTCCTGCAGCCCGCCACTTTTTGGGGGCCAAGCTCCTGAACATCTGGAAGGCCCAGGTTGGACAAAGCTGCTGTGGGAGGTTAATTCAGAGCTGAGAAAGCTGTAACATTATGTTGTCCCTACAGAAACAACTTGTTGAGGATTTCCGTGAACTCCGTGCTACTGTAGAGAAGATGGGGCTCCTGCAACCTAACCGTCTCTTCTTCTTCCTGTATCTCATTCACATCTTGGTGCTGGATGTTGCTGCTTGGCTCAACATGTGGTACTTTGGAGCCTCCTTGCTGCCTTTTCTCTTTTCCGGATTGCTGCTTGGCACCGTCCAGGTAACCTCTATTTATTAAGATGGCATAGGGCAGAGAATGAGGCTGATACTGCAGTGGGATCTCTTCCCTCCCCACTGGGGTGCTCATGGATTAAGGAAGAGAGACTGCCCAAGGGTATACAAAGCATCTAGCCCTCTATGAAGACAGGCATCTATTTGATTTTAGTTTCATTTGCCATTTACCACACTTTGCTGCCAAGAACTTTGCTTCCATTAAACAATGGTGCCCATTCTCCAATTCTTTCTCAAATTAGAAACTCTGTTGGCTTCTTCATGGGATTCCCGATTTTACAATCTCTCTTTGGAATTGACCTTTCCATCAGGGTTTTGGCTTAACTCTTACTCTTCTGCTCACCCATAGCAAAATCTATACACACTCTTCATCTATCAATATATGGATCAAAACTTGTGCCTCCCAGGCACTCTGGGTGATATGCAGTAAAAATGGAAGTTTTTTTATCTGCACTACAAAAAGTAACAGGAGTAATATATTCAGCACATTAGCATTAGAAACCATGGATAGAGAGCATCATAAAACAACATTAAATACCACTAAAGATGGATGGAAAAAAGTCAATCTTATGCTGCTTTCCCAGAGCTCTGTAAGAGGAGGTCACCTAATCTCTCTAAGGGTGTTTCGTGTATTAAATGTATTTATTGGACTCTTTTATTCTAGGTCCCCCCATCTCTCTTTTTCTTCTCACTGCCAAACCCCAGATTATAAATTTCCTGGGGAAGAAGCCTATCCCCTCCTGCTTTTTTTCTTTGGCTTATGATGAAAAGTGCTGTGTATGTTGGTAGGATTTTGATTGTGCTAGCAAGACTATTGTTTTCCAGGCCCAAGCTGGTTGGCTGCAGCATGATTTGGGACACCTCTCAGTCTTCGGCAAGTCTAAATGGAACCACTGGGTTCACAAATTTGTGATTGGACATCTGAAGGTGAGCGACAGCATTGGTGCTGTTCCTTGGTGTTTACTTCAAGGCTCATAAACACTTGAGAATCTTGGTGTAAAGCTTTTCCTATGTCTTCTGTGCAGAAGAGAATGCAATGTTTCTAGATTAGACTTCCTTCTCTGTTGTTCTCTGCAGGGGGCCCCAGCCAGCTGGTGGAATCATTGGCATTTCCAGCATCATGCAAAACCAAACTGTTTCCGCAAGGACCCTGATCTCAACATGCATCCTTTGATTTTTGCTTTGGGAAAGAAACTCTCCGTGGAGGTGGGTCTCATAAAACTCTGGCATAGGGAATGGAAAATGGGAGGTGCCATAGGGAAAAAGTGGGGAATTGTGTGGGCCTTCAGATACTATTGAGACAAAATTCCCATCAGCTGTAGCCAACATAACCAATGATGAGGAATGCTGGGAATTGTGATCCAGTAACCTGTGGGAGGGTCCTGTTTCCCACCCCTGCTATAAAAATTTACATTTGGTCAGAGTCTCTGCAGGAAAGGATTGGATAGTGTCAGCATCTTGCTTAAATTTGATTTGTCTGAGAATGAAAGGAGTACAAGGCTTGCAATATTACACCAACAGAGAGAGGATAAGGATTTAAGAAATGTTCTCCCATAGTTGAGGTGATAGTATTTTTCCTTTATAAACATTTAAATGTTGGCATTGGTGTTATATTGTTTTGGCATGCTGGCAGTTTTGGTGTAATTACCAGATTTATGGCCTGATCCTAAAGTATATTTATTCAGTATTAGAATATTTGCTCTTTGACATTAAGAATGAAACCTCTGAACTGCAGTGGAAAAGGTTCTTGCATAGCGTTGGGTCACTGTCTTAATCCCGGTTACATGTTGTTGTGGTCTGAAAGATTGCCCAACACCATCTGCCTTTTATTTGGTTTTCTTTTATGATTCAGATGTTTCCAGACAATTGCCTTTGAAAAGTTTCCTTGCCTGGCTTTTATTTTAAATTGTGGCTTTTTG